CTTTTACTACATATAAAACAAATTCACATATTTTAAAGGAATATATAGTCGTAAAAGATTTTCCGCCCCGAGGAAGTCATACAAATTTCCGTCCTTTATTCATACTTCGTTCGTTTTATTGGTAAATATTCTGTTTCTGTTCTTTTTAGTTTTATTACAATCAGCATATAGCCGCGTATCATTTGTAAAATATCCTTTTTATTTTTTGCTTAATATTCTGGCATAGTTGTCTAATTGATATAATGTTTTTTTATTTATTATACAGAAATCCTAGGACTTAATATTGAATAATGAATATCTAAGAAGTATTTCAAACATGACAAATTTTTAGACTTGAATCCTTCCCTAATGTAAATATACTCGTATTTCGTTTTTGGCCCCTCAAAAATAATTTTACTTAAAATTGAAGAATACCAACTATAAATAAGCAAGACAATTTTAATTAAATACCTTTTTTCTTTAAACTAATTTAAATTATCTTCCATACAAGTTTAGTCTGGAGTATGCAGCGCACGGCAAAGTTATGATCATAACTTAAGTGCTTCCCGGGCAGTTGCAATTTCCTTAGAAATTAAATAACGATACGCAGCATGTTTGAATAGTTGAACTATGATATTTATGGACAAGAAGAAAATTGATTTAACACCTAGCCAACAACGTAGCCTTTGAATTTTATTTCAAAGGCTACGTCAATTTAATTTGAATTTGTTGAATTATTCATAACAAAGTTAAGAAAATAAGAACTAACTCTGATAATTCTACAATATTTTAAATGAGTATAAAACGTTTTAGAATCTTCTGAAATTCGGTGCTCACTAGATTTAATTTCAAATAAGTTTATAAAATAATTGTGGATTCGAATATTACAAAAATTCTCTGAAAGATCCATCAAAGAGAAACATGTCTTACATAAGGTACATTCCGACAGTAATTCCTAAACATCGAGAATTTTGTCATTGATATCTCATTATATTTTCGTTATTTATACTTAAATGAACCGAAAACCCGATAAATAAAATATATGACACGACCCAAAGTTATTGAGGGCACATAACTGTTAGTATGTCATGAAACAGGCGCTTGAGATAAAAAAAGGCCTACGACATTGCATAAAATATCCATTACAGCAAACAAAGGCACTTTACGATATCCAATACGTCCTATGGGATAAAAGAAATACATGCGAGCGTCTTCAGTTTGATTTTCGTTGTTCATATAATCGATTTTATATCAATACATACATATTTAACTTCTACAAACACATGAATACAATGTAATTATTATCCTTCAAAAGATTTTAACCATTTTATCTTTCCAACATAAAAAATTCTAGTAGCCTTCCGTTCGCAAATTCTTAAATAATTTAGCAAATGGCTTATTGTCATTGAACTTAAAGAAAAGTCAAGAGGAGTTAGAATATAGGAACGAACAGTTTTCAAGTTGAAAGAAAAGAAAATAATAAAGGAAAATGGAACATCTGCGACGCACAAGAAAGTTTTAATCATACTTCCTGTGGGTGGCACCACGAAATAACAGAGAAATTGAAAATTTACATTTAAACAATACTGTAATTTTTTTAAATACATAGAACATTGTCTAACTTATCTACCTAGGTTGCAATTTTCAAACATTTTAAACCATAAAATTGGAGAGACTAAATATATACATAATATGTATATATTCTTAATAATTTCATATCAATATAATATATTTACTATTATTGTTTTACTGGGGTACAGATTATCATGGTATCTTGTTTAAAAATACATAAATGAAGTAAGAATAAATAATAGTGTACTAAACATAAAAAAACAACCAACAAACTATTTGCTTTGATTATATGATGAACTGAATTTAATAATAGTTATGTGGTTGATACACCAGAAGTTAAATTGTAGATCTAATAAATATAATACTGATGTCAATAAGATTTATCCATTAATAACGATGATTTAATGATGATTTCTTTCATAAGTATTGTTGATATTAAATTCAAACAAATTATGTTATTATTAAACTGTTTGACGTTTCTTTCAAAATAATGATAACGTGTTTATTGAGGTCTTAATTGATATAGTGCTCACCAGACACGGTACATTTTACATAATGGGAAACGGGTTTTTTTTATAATGAATCTCGTAAAATTCCCAATAAAGCATCAGGTGATTTTATTATATAATTTTCCTTATTCGTGCACAACTATTTCAACCTTACATAAAACCGGTTCGCAAAGGTGATTTAAAATAAATGTTAACAATATAAAAGTCTAGATGTGAAGTGTTCTATTTGTCAAAATGACTTTGAGAATGTTAATAATAATATCGTATTGGACATGTGTGCTACAAATAGTGTCAACACTTGGTACGTATGTATTTTAATTTTCCACGTGTTATCATAGGTAGTTGACTTTAAGTAAGCTTGAAGGTCGCTGATATTATAGTCCATGTATATAAATATATTGTAAAAATAGTGATTGAATGTACTTTGGATATGGCTGAGTAAGCACACCATCACAATAGTATATTTTCTTATTGTCATTGATAAATACTACTGACAATATCTTAATATTTTTTCTAAATAAAGTACCATAAAATATTCATCTTTTAAATAAAATATTCATTTAAAACAATTTTACTTCAAGAGTATGATTACTGATAATGTAAAAATAATACTTAAACGGTCAACAAGAGGAATTTGTATTTACGAAAAATTTGAATGTGTACCAAAACATTACAAATTATTGACACAATATAACTGTTGAACACATTGTTTCAAATTTTTCTTACTTTATTATAAAACATATGAAATGGTTTTTTATGTATTACAAAAAATCCAGTGTGAAATAATTATGTTAATAATATGAAGCGACTACAAAAAGGGACTATTGATTTTAAAAATATTTTTTTTTTTAACTTATTTACTAAAAAACTGGATCTTTATATTTTTTCTGTGAGTGGAGTATATTATTTTTTATAGAATTGTTTACTGCCCTGATGTTATTCTTATCATAGAAATGCGTTAATTTGTTATACAATATCCACTTCATACAATATACAAATAATGTAATTATAACATTATATAAATAGGTAATGTTTTTTGTTGAGAGCGTTTATAAGTAGGTATATTTTTTTCTAAATAATAAACATGTATAAATGTCGTTGAATAGATGACAAAAACATCTAGCGATTTCAAAAAAAGTTGTGATTAAAAATTTTGGTAGCAATTAGCCTCGATTTTTAATATGAGTCTAGCGATTGAATCATTAAATAAGTAATCAACACTATGATACACACAGCAACATAGCATTATCTAAATTGTTAGTTTTATTCACCTCTCAATAAATTCATTTGAATGAAAGATGTTTAAAAGTTGGGTCTATTTTTGTTTTGGATCCTCGTTTTTTTTATTTATTTTATTTAGTGGTAGCAAAAAAATAAAACATTTATTTTATTTAGATTTTTGTTAACTTTTCTAATTTTCTAATTTAATGTCTATTTCAAGATAATTCTTTTAGTTATTTGTGACTTGCTGGCAGGTCATTGGTTGACTTTGATTAGACTTAAGTTTATGATAACATTTAAAAGTCAAAGAGGAAACTGTCGAGTTAAGTTTGAAGAAAATATTATATCTAAACATAAATTTTAATGAATCCCTGGTCCTATGATTATTATAATGACAATTGCAAGTTCTTTAAAATATTCTTTCTGCAAAAAATACGAGTAAAACGTTAAAAAAAAAGATAATTAAACACGTATACTTAATTGTTTGTTTAAGTTTCAAAAGACCATAAAATATTATATGACTTTTCTATATAAATGATATAACTAACAATTAATTTCAGAACACTTGTTCAAATTTCAAACTTCGTAATATTTATATTCAATATTTTTTTTTATAATAAAATAATGTTCATGATATTTTTTTAACAAAAGCTATTATTTGTCACGTTTAACTTAACTATTAGAAATCGTGGTTTTTTAAATTGTATTAGTTACATAATTACTAAAAATGTTTAGACTTTTCTTAGTTGCTTGACGTATACATGATACAATATTAACGTTTCTATATTTATATAATTTTGTCTCATTATTATGTATCAAAATTAAACAGAAATACTTATTGATTCAAAATAAAACGTAACTCTGGGTAATTTAATGAACATGACGATAAAATATTTTATCGTCATGTTTAAACAAATTAAACAGACTGTCACGAATAAACATGATCATCAAATGTTTTATACTTGGAACACATGTTTAAAAATTTCTAGCAGGCATTTAAACGCTTTCATTTAATCTTATAGAATCGAAATACTATGACAAATTTTATGAGGAATAAGAAAGTACATATGATATTAAATGATTAAAAGATAATATTTCAAACAGTAAATCATCATCAGATGTTAAAATCTGAGCACAATATTTAAATCACTGATCAAATATACAATATTCAAAACATAAATAAACTACAGCGAAATTTAACAAGGTAAGTAATGTTAATGGGAGCCGAGCCGAACCGAACTTTACCGAGTGCGCATCATTTTACCAATACTTAGCTGAAGGTTGTAATTTTTCATGTGATAGACGGACATAAAAACTCTACACACCAAAAATTTTAGTTGAAAAATATTCAGATACATATTTTAAAAAATTACGATACCTATTAATATTTTTAATTTTTTCACATCAATAAATACTATATAACAATGAAAATATAAAATACAAAGATATAAATAAAATATCATTGCTATTGAAATAAAAAATTTATACATATTTAAACAAGTGCTACAATATTAACTGTATAAAAGAAAATAAATTCTTTCAATAGCAACATTGTTACTGCTTAAAATGGTTAAGTGGGTGTATTTTGTGTTTTTAATATCTTTGGCTGGAATTATATCATGTGAAGGTTAGATGGCTTGGTATTAAAACAAATTTATATTAATCATAGTAGTTTTATAAATAATTAATTTGTTTAAAGGAAAATATGTATGATTTAGAATGTATTTAATTCAAATTGCTTATCTCTCAGCAATATCACCTACAACTGTTAGTCAACCTTCCGAAGATATAGACGGTGAAGATGACGACGGTGATTGTGATTATACACGTAAGCATGTTTGACAAAACTCTTACAAATAAATTTAAAATATTCAAAAAATTACATTTATAATAGTTTTCACCGAAATATTTTATTTTGCTAACTAACCAACATTTAAAGAAACACCTCATATGAAATTGACCGTGAGTGGACTTATTTGCTAAAGTTGTTTGGAACAGTTGGGTGTTAAAAGGTTCCACAACGTACCTTTTTGCGCTTCTGCATATACAAATATCAGTTTAAATTTTCAAACACGAATTTGACGTTATATCCTGGAAGTCGCAGGTTGAAATATGATTAAATTATTTTTTTAATTTAAAAATAAAAAATTATAATTTTACTTGTACTGTAAAATTCACTTCCCAAGTAAGAAAAGTTTTTTGAAAAAAAACCTTGAGTTTGATTTATTTTAGCATCTGTGCTTTAAAATATTATTTGTTCAAACATTTCAATAAGTGGGTAGCGTTATATTTTCACTCATTCATTCAAGTGCTCAATGGTATTTGTGTTTTTTATCAGTGATTATAAGAAATATTGTGCTCACTATAATTTTTTTAAATAGATTTTTCCACTAGGTATCGATGAAATTGTAAAGGATTAACAAACTGTTTTTGCTAAAAATTAAATAAACAACAATATTCCGTTAATTTCACTTGTATGTTTCATGAGTTGTGGTGAACACATAGAAATGTTATGCATTTTCTATTTTAAAAATCAGTTATTGCAGATATTTAGTCATTTTATACAAAAATGTCGTGTTATAAAAAACAAAGATTACAAGTAGAATATTACAAATGGTGGTGATATTACAAATAGTGATGTACATAGAAGCTTTACATGTGCAATTAACGGTATACTTTGTCTTTGTGTCTCTACCCCTTCTATTAAATCTACACATTTTTAGAGAAAAAGGGTAAATATGTCAAAAAAATTTATACACGAGCAGATAACGGGACCTGCATTCCGGAAGACGAATGTGCTCGTTAGTTTATATTTATATGTAGACTAAAAAATCAAGTTACTTATCATACAATTAACCTTTATATGTATATGTACGAGTACGAAAAAAGTCTCTTCATATGTTGGTTCCAAAATCAGCAAAATTTACTTTATTACATTGCGTTATTATTTTAAAGAATCATGAAATATTAGTTCTAAAAGACACTTCAATTTCAGCTACATGTGGAGATAATGAAGTATATGATGTCTGCCCCTCACCTTGTCCACCAAAAAGATGTGACGTAGATGAACTACTTATAGACTGTGCACCGAACCCATTACCTGGAGATCCAAATTGCGAACCAGGATGTCGATGTGCTGATAACTATTATAGAAACGAAAACGGTCTGTGCGTGACAAAAGAGGAATGTCGTGAGTATATAATTTTAACGACTTCACCAATTGATATTTATATTATTTTAAAGACGACTGTTTGAATATTGCGTTTTTATATTTTTTAATTCAGCTCCTTTAATCGAATGTGGCCCCAATGAAATAGCACTAAGTTGCGTAAATGGAGGTTGTTGGAAAGAAAGTTGTAATTTTCCACAAACGATATGTGGAAAGCCGGCCCCTGGTAGCTGCAAAGAAGGATGTAGATGTAAAGAAAATTATTTGCGTTCTGATAATGGCACTTGTATTCCGGAAAGTGAATGTCCCCGTACGTTAATATATCTATATATATATAAATATATCTATATACAGGGTGACTGGTGAATTACTATCAATATTTAAGGAGAATACTCGGTAAATGATTCTCATTCCAATTATGTAAAAAAATAGGTACTTAATTTTTGACCAAATTTCCATATAAATAAATAAAGTGTGGACACGTTCCAAGTGTTCCAAGTGTGGACGCGTGCGGCGGCGTGCTGATACAACACCACGCCGCCGCACGCGTGTGTGTGTGTGAGTGTATACCTAATCTGTAGGGTGTGCACACGATGCGTAATTAATTACATAACTTTTGGTTAACTTTACTTAGAAGTTTATTAATATTTATGTTATATTAATTTTTATTTTGTCATATATGATCGTCAAATATCACGTCCTCTGGAAAATCTTTACGGGTAAAATCAAATTATAATCGCCAAGAATCCAGAGTATACAGAATATTTTTTGTTAAGAGTATAAATGAAAATATATTTACTTTTATGATATGGCATTATTTTATACGGATACTCGCAGTTTGTTGAACGTGATATATAATTTCAATTCGATATCAGCTTTTAATCCGCTTCAAAATAAAATACGCTCACGTTTTATATAAAAAATAATTAAAAAATGCTATTGTTTTATACATATATTTATGTTGGTATGGGTATTTGTGTATCTGAAAATTATGTAATTTTATGCTTGTATTCTAAAAGGATGAGACATTTTTGATTTTATTTCAACATAATATGTAAATATAATGGGAGACATGTTTGAAAAGAAAATCTGTAATATTAAACTAGTTAAAAATAGCATACTTATTACATTATTATTGTTAATGTTAATAATTATGCTCTGGACAATTATTAAAAATAATTATTGTAAATGTAAATACAATTATTTTTCAAGTTTACTTAAAGATAGAACTGAATAGTAACCTTTGTAATGAATGTATTTCAGCAACTTGTGGGATTAATGAAGTGTATGACGAATGTCCGCCACTCTGTCCACCACAACGATGTGATGTAGATGACAGGCTAATAAGATGCGCTGCAAATCCGAAACCGGGTGATCCTAAATGTAAGCTAGGTTGCAGATGCGCAGAAAATTTCTATAGAAATGATAAAGGAATTTGCGTAACTAGAGCAGAATGTCGTAAGTATATTACGTGAGATACAATAATTGCACATATATAAGAAAATCTTTTTTTAGACCTGGAACTATAATTCTGGAAATATAAAAGATTACTAGAAAACTGTCAATATTTATGAAAAGTTTCAGTTGACCCTGTTTTGTAAACTACAATTTGGTTGAACGAATGCTGTTATGGTGAAAACTGTATGAAACTAAATTAGTTTGGTGCAAATGAATGCATATTGTTTTAGACCCAAGCCTATAATATTTCAAATTCACAACTCTCCCTAAATGGAGATGTAACTTTTAGATGTAATTTATCTTCTATTTGCAAAATACACTCAGATATCAAGCTTTTAGAGTTCTTCCAAAAATATAAGAAATTTCTCTCAATTTTTAGTCTACTTTTATGCCCACATAAAAAAATATTAAACGTCTTTCTTGTAAATATTCTAAGTGTGAGTGTTAATACTTAGTTAATTAAGCTTCTTGACCCCAAATGATAATTAGAAGTGGTTGATATGATATAATATATAATATAATTTATTATGTTTTTACTTTTAATATCTGAAATTAAAGATTTATTTGATGATGTGTGGTATTGAATAGTCTTAGATATGATAAAGTCTCTTTTATGTTTTGTCATGGTCATTAATATCGTGGGGATAAAACAATTTACTTTTGTGAATTTCTTTTATAGCTACTTTAACTTCATCTGTTTCAATTTTATGAAAAGATTTTTCATCAATTTCTTTCGATTTTGCATTCCCTCCGACCAGTGTCCCTGTGAATATTAAATGCTGATTATTCAATAACCTTTTTCCATTACGTATACATTTTTGAAAATTAGGAAAACTGTGGTTATTTCCGTTTTAGAACTACCAAAAAAATGCGGTCCAAACGAAGAATACTCTTCTTGTGCAAATGGTGGTTGTAGAAGATTTACATGCGCAATGAATGCTATTCTTTGTGTGGACTTAATAGAAGGAGGCTGTGAGGCTGGATGTATTTGTAAGGAATCCTACACCCGAGCCGATAATGGAACCTGTATTCCCGAAAACCAATGTCCTAGTAAGTCACATTCATGTCATCATAATATTACAAAGAAATAGATAACTTGAAATACAAATTTTAGAATTGTAATTATAAAATTGTAATAAAAGGATACTATGCAACCATATTTTATTAATAAATCAAATTAAATTAATTTGTCCATTTAAAACAATTAAACCTTGTGAAGTAGAATTTAAATAAAACGTTTAATTAATTGTTTAAGAAAAATTGTCTAACGGGAGACAAAAAATTTAAAACAACGATCCAATACGCGATGGCTAGCACGAAAAATAATGCAAATTGAAACCAACCTCTTTTCAGTCATATGTGGAGATAATGAAGTATATGATGTGTGTCCCTCACCTTGTCCACCAAAGAGATGTGACGTTGATGAACTACTTATAGACTGTGCACCGAACCCATTACCTGGAGATCCTGATTGCGAACCAGGATGCCGATGTGCTGATAACTATTATAGAAACGAAAACGGTCTATGTGTAACAAAAGAGGAATGTCGTGAGTAAAAACACTTTTACCCTGACCATTTTTTATTCAAATAATTTTTGTGTCCAGTGTTGGAATGTATTTAATGTTTTTAAAAGCCCCAATGATTGACTGTGGACCGAATGAAATTGCATTACGTTGTGCAAATGGTGGTTGTTGGAAACAAAGCTGTTCTCGACCACAGACGAAATGTGTAAAGCTGCGTCCAGGAGCTTGTAAAGAAGGATGTAGATGTAAAGAAAATTATTTGCGTTCTGATAACGGCACTTGTATTCCAGAAAATGAATGCCCCCGTACGTGCATATATTATATTTTTTGAATTAAATTAATGCTTTAAATAACAGTAAATTTATTAGTAATAACTTCATTATTATACTTTAGAGAATTGCGGAATAAATGAAATTTACGATGAATGCCCCCCTACTTGTCCTCCTCAAAGATGTGATATAGACAACCGAGTAATAAAGTGTAAACGAACACCAATGCTGGGAGATCCTGATTGTAAACCTGGGTGCCGTTGCAAAGATGAATTTTACAGAAATGATTTAGGAATTTGTGTCACTAGGGATGAATGTCGTGGGTTAATTTTTTCTATTGGATTTTACTTGTTATTTTATAAACTGTATTAGTTAATTTATAAATTGCTCTTGCTTTAGAAAAATGTGAAGTTCAAAATTAAAGTATTTTTTTTATAGCACCACTAATAAAGTGTGGAGGTAATGAGTACGCATCAAAATGTGCTAATGGTGGTTGCAAAAAAATAAGTTGCGCTGAACCAATAATCCGTTGTGTAAAATTGCCGCCCAGTGCCTGTGAAGAAGGTTGTCTTTGTAATGAAAATTATATAAGAGCTGACAATGGAACATGCATACCTGAAGAGGAGTGTCCGAGTACGTACACATTCAATAGAGCAATTTGTGCTTGTTGAAGTTTAAATATAAATTTGTTCAAAGTTCAATGTCAAATAAATTTTAGATATTTGTGGCATCAATGAGGTTTATGACAACTGTCCTCCTATTTGTCCACCACAGCGATGTGACGTGGATATAGCGACAATATTATGCAAACCAAATCCACTACCTGGGGATCCGGAATGTAAGCCAGGTTGTAGATGTGCTGATAATTATGCTAAAAACAATGAAGGTATATGCGTGCCTCGAGACGAATGCCGTAAGTGTTAAAATTGTCCTAAAAATACAAACTTTACTTTAAAAAAATGTTATATACAGTTGTAAAGCAAATCAGAAATTTTCTAACTTGTTCTTGTTGCTCCCTTTATTAACATTACCTTTATATGTTATATTTAGTATTAAAAAAAAAACTCTTCTGGTCCCAAAAATTCTGAGCCTTTTCAGTGTTGCTAGTTAAGTAATATCGTAACCATTTTCTACCGAAAATATTTCTTAAAACAGAATTATATTATTCAAACAATAAAACACAAATTATTCATAGTGTTTCTGGATTTTTCATGCACGCTTACAACTGTGATATTAAACATTTTATTGTTTTCACTAACATAATTCAAATAATTCAATAATGTTAATTACATTGTAGTACAGATTTATTAATAGGTAAATTTTAAAAACTTGAGGTTTATTTTTTATGTTACTTAAATAACTTAAAATGTAAAAGTAAATTTTGTTATTAATTGAAATCCATATTTAATACTATTACTGGCATCAAGGAGAAATTTTAAATTATTAATCTTTTCGTAGCATCTCCTAACATATGTGGTCTCAATGAAGAGTATTCTGATTGTGCCAATGGTGGCTGCAGGCGTCTTTCATGCAATTCTACTGGCATCGAATGTGTCGATTTAAAAGATGCTGGATGTAAACCCGGATGCAATTGCAAAACGAATTATACACGTGCAGACAACGGAACGTGCATTGCTGAAAGTCAATGTCCTGGTAAGTAAATATATTCTAAGTGAATAGATATAAAGTTCCTTAAACGGGTCATATGAGAAAATCTTATAAATTTGTGATATGTTTGAAATATAAGGTCACTTCTTTCAGATCATTCGATAAATAAAATATTTATGGCTGTTTAATGGTCATTTTTTGTTACAAATTCGTATTCCTAATGGTCCTAACGGGTTTAGAAAACGAATTTTTTGTACCAAATTTCCTAGTGGTGTCTGTCTAGTACCAAGTTGACAAAAATAATATGTTAAAGTTCACGAAAAATGTATCCAAAACCAATTTTCATTTAAAAAAATGGTAAAATACATGACTTTAATTAAATTTTGATTCACTATAAGAGATCCGTAACATTTCTAATAATAGATTTTAATACGTTTTAAATATTTCATAAGAGTAGATTATGGATTAATTATAATCTATGAAATAGGTGACAAATAACAGAGACCTAGAAAATACTTTAAACTGCGTAGAAATTGTCTTAATGGTTTATATAATTAAAAATTTATAAAGATATTTTCAATATTAAACTTATAATAAGGGTTTTAATATTTCACATAACTTTTTATCAGGAGCAACATGAATGAAACAATAAATAACTAGTCCCTCACTTTGTCTCGTCCGGTTCTATTACATTTAGAATGACCTTAATTAGCCTAGATTATATATTAACTCAAAGGAAATGTTGACATAAATTCAAACAAACATTTCAATTTTAAGAACCGATCTCAATAACACAATAATAAACTCATAATATTACCCTTATTTAATTAAAAAGAAGCTATAGCATTGTCTACATCTATTTGTTTTTTAGCAACATGTGGAGTGAATGAAGTGTATGACGAATGCCCCCCACTTTGTCCCCCACAAAGATGTGATGTAGATGATCGAATAATAAGATGCGCTACAAACCCCAAGCCGGGCGATCCTAAATGTAAGGCAGGGTGCAGATGTGCAGACAACTACTATAGAAATGATAGGGGAGATTGCGTAACTAGAGAGGAATGCTGTAAGTATATCAAATAACAAAAATTAAGGAAAAGTGTGCTACATATACTGTAATTTTTGTCTCTATATATTTATATACTTTTTCAAACATAAAGGTATCAAAATACACAATTTTACTATGAAAATTATTCTAGCTAAATGCTTTGGAGCAAATGAAGTGTATGCATGCAAAGACTCCAACCCTCAAACTTGTGAATCGATTGATCAAGAAATCAAACCAGACACGACATCAAAAAATTGTAGGAAAGAATGTAGATGTAAAGAAGGGTTTTACAGAAATAAGATTGGTGAATGCATATCGAAAGAAAATTGTTGTAAGTATAGGAAAATTACACAAGAACATTAACAGAAAGAAACAATTTTTACCAAATCCATTTAAATTAAGTATATAATTTTTAAACCACCATAGCTTTTAACTAGGGCTGACTGTGTGTCTTTTTATTTCGACGGGTTAATTTTGGAAACTACAAGGACTTTCAGAAAGTCAAATTTTTGACGATTAGGCATTTTAAAAAATATGGGTTAGTCCCTATATATTTAATTAAAATATCAAAAACTCCTTGGAAATTCTACAAAATTTTTAGGTTCATATCTTTGATATAAGATTTGTCTTAGAAACATAAAACTTACATATCCATACATACATTTTTACTACCATAGCAATTTTATTTCAGTAAAATGCAATGGAACCAATGAATTCTTCTCATGTGGCTCAGCTTGTGTCAATGAATGTCGTACTTTAAAAACACAAAATCAAACAAATTGCCCTATTGTAAATATTGTTTGCAATAAGCAGTGTTATTGTGAGGATGGATATGCTTATGATGAAAATAAGAAATGTATACCTATATCGGAGTGTCCCCGTGAGTATTCTATTTATAATGAGAAATACGCTGAAAACTCAAACTTAAGAAATTATAGTGTTTTTATAAAAGTAAAAAAACTTTTAATTCGAATAATTAAATTTATGAATCCCGGTATTTAATCCTGAATATTTATTGAAATTACTAGCTTTCCGCCCGCAGCTTCGCCGCGTGGAGTTCGGTTATATCGCGTTTCCAAGAGAACCTTTCAAAAGTCTGGGATAAAAACTATCCTATGTTCTTTCTCAAGGTCAACTCTATCTCTGTACCGAATTTCATTAAAATCAGTTCAGTGGTTTAGGCGTGAAAGCGTAGCAGACAGACAGACAGACAGACAGACAGACAGACAGACAGAGTTACTTTCGCATTTATAATATTAGTAGGGATTTTTATTTATTGCTATTTGCAATCATTTTCAAAAAAAAAGGTAAAAAGATACAAAATAATGCAGCCATTATTAAAAATGTTTCACAGGTAAGCCTTTTTCTCGTGTATTAGAAAAAAATTACACTTATGGTATATAATTTTCCTCATGGTAATAATCTTAAAGTGAATATACTACGGTTTAACAGCTCAACCATCTTGCGGTGAAAATGAAGAACCGTCTGACTGTGCTAATGGTGGATGTAGGAGATGGGAATGTTCAGATACTGGTGTTATCTGTAAAGACTTACTGGAAGGTTCATGTGAACAAGGCTGCGTTTGCAAAGACTCTTACACTAGAGACAAAGATGGTAATTGTATTCCCGAAGACCAGTGCCCTGGTAAATATTAACATCAAACAATTAATTTCTTAAAGTAATAAATTCATATTTCTTTTTAGAAGTTTCAAATACTTTTAATAAAAGGGCTCTAGAAGTTTGAAACTCAAACAAAAAGCTTAATGGTATCCTTAAAGTCTTTCTTTTTTAATAATATTTTTATTCTTCTTCATTTGTTTATTTATTTAATTAAAATGCAATAATTTAGTACAAGACTTCTATTTCATAAATAAAATAATTAATTCTTAACCAATAATTTTCAAAACCCTCAACTCCTTGGATTCAAAAATGTAAATATTCATAAAATTATTAAACAAAAAATTCAAGCAGTTTCACTGTTTATAATTAAATGGCCATTAGGAAAAGATTAAAAGCAATATGTATGACTAGAATATTGCCCATCTATTTTCATGGAAATTTTAAAAAACGTTATAGTCTTAAAGGCATATATATTTTATTATTTTTTAAGTTATTGATAGTCACCTTAAATTAAACAAATTTAAAAAAATAATAAAAAGAATAAATTGGGATTATTGAGTATACATATAAGCTAAAAGGTATCTAATAACCATTACATTGATTATTTTGAGATAAAGTATCAAGACCTGAGAAAACGAGTATTTTAGTAACAGTTTGTGACAAATATTCAATTTTTCATTGGGTTTATAAATAATATTATAGTAGTATAATTATGGCATTACACATTATTTTATAATCCGTTCTACTTTCTTAAATTACTAGAATTGAATAAAGTAAAACTTTAACATGTTTTGATATATCTTAACTTTATACCAAATTTTATTCCACTTGACAGAGCTTTGCGGTCCTAATGAGGAGTATGGATGTGAAACTACTTGCAACAAACAATGTATTGTTATGAACGGAAAATGTATTCCTCCTAAAGAATCCAAAGTTTGCAAGCTCCAATGCCGTTGTAAGGATGGTTATAGCAGAAACGAAAATGGCTTGTGCGTTTCAAGTAAGTAATTTAATTTTTATTTTCTTTAGAATTATTATCTTAAAATATTAATAAGCTGCTACATTTTAAAGTCAAAATTATAACTAGCAAAATTAAAAAAGATCCACTTTAATTTTTATATTAAATATTCACTGAAAGTTAAATAATTCCTAAAACTGTACAAAAATGTAACAAAAACATTTGGTTTAAAAAAAAAAAAATATTTGTTATATGTAATTCTTTGTAATACAGAAATTGTTCCGTTTATTTTTTGGATCCTTAATTCAGTTTTTTTTTTCTTAGCAAAGTCAGGTAACTTATGCTTGTATAGTAGTTTTATTTATATTCTGTCTTATGTATTTTAAATCAATAAACTTTTTTAATCTTTGACAATAGGTCATATAGAATTGATAAAAAAAATTTATAGATTTGATATTTTTAAATGTTTCTTATTAAATAGCAATTTCAGACAATATTTAAATATGCTTCATAAAAGCCTTGAAAAAATAATTTATATTTAAATGTATTTATGATATAACTTGAAAATGTTTTCGATACGATACGATTCGGTACGAGGTAACATCAGCCGCCGGCATAGTTGTCAGGGCCATGCGCCAATCGATTCGTACAGTTCTGGTATGTTATCTGATTACTAAGTCGTTTGAAAGATGAAATAAAATTTGAACTGAGTATGACACTCGAAGAATTTCTTTTAGTCGGGAACTAGTCATCAATAATAGTTGATCCAAAGACCGGCAGTCTACTGGCCTGGTCTGGCCTAAGTGGGTTATCTATTCAGGAATTGATACCTCGCCAAACTACATGCACGAGTGGCATCATCATCATTGTTAGCTACCATAAGAGGTACCTTATGATGAATTAAATCCCAACTTGTACAAAGAGTTTGTTTGTAGTTCTAGGTAATACTTTTAGGGCTTCGTTTAACTTCCATCCTTCATATAAACTATCCATTTTATGAAAGGTTCAAATAAAAAAAAACTAATTTCGTTCCTCTAGAAAGCACAGGTATGGTTGTGTATAACGTATAGCTATCAGGTTCTGATTGGTGCTACCAACTACGATCTTAAGGCTTTGGTCTCTATTTGATGACTTGAAAAAGAGTTATTGGTGACTTTAATTTGTCAACTAATCTATGTAGTTAGTCTTGAACAGTCGCGCAAAATAGCCAGTCTCTTGGTACTTTATATAAGATATACTTTTAAAATTATACTCAATAATTTAATGATATAATTCCTTGACTCCCTTCTTTTACCTACGCACCGATAACCGAACGAACTACTAGCTGTAAACGTTTCGATTTAACTATGCGATTAGTACAATCAATGAGTGTATCAATATCAATAAAAAGTACAATTAATGAGCGAGTGTGCTTACACTCTCTAGCTACATTATTCCTTACCATCAGGAAAGGTGGAATGACAAGATGACCAAGCAACATTCAGATCCAGTTGTTAAATACATAAAACTAATAAAGTTATCCATATAAAAATAGGCGAGAAGTGAGGATGCATCAGAAAATTATGCAAAAAAATTCAGAGCATACAAATTATATTTTGATGTCTGTATTAATGAAAGTATATTTCATTTTTATGATATAACATTATTTTATACGGCGACTCACGGTTTGTTGAACGTGAAATGTAAATCCAATTACCATTTCAACTTTTAATCCCCTCGACAATAAAATATGCTCCCGTTTTATATTAAAAAAATTTAGCAAAAATACTCTTGTAATTACTATGTTATACGCTTTAGATATATCGTGTAATATTTAATTTAAATATAATTACATAAATAACTTCTATTAAATGTTATGTAAAAGCAAGTGTTAATATCAAGGCATTAAAAATTTAAACTTGTTTATTATCGAATTGGCAATTCTCAATTCCTAAACACTATCTTCTCTTAACAAACACTTGAAAGCAGCAGAAACACTACACTATGGAGATCACTTAAAGCTCTACTCTGTCAGAATCTCTTCAGAAATCAAACTCTGCGTTAGATGATCTTAGATATCAATTAGTTGAATGCCATTTCAGTACTCAAGCCACCTAATAGTAATGTATTTAACATCAACACAAAAAGAAATGTAAATAGAGATGATAGTATTGAAATAAAAATATAAAGAATATTTTCGTAGAAATAATATAGTTTATAAAAGTAATTCTATTTTTCTAGATAAAAGAGTTTATTCAAAAATGAAATACCTTCTTACATGAAATTTTAAGATTTCAAGATTATTAAAGCAATGCTTACAAGCTTGGGAACTAAAAAAAAATACTTATTTTGAGAATAACCTTCTATTTTAGTCTTACAGAACATAAATATATATCTGGGATGTTTAAAATTATCAGTCTGTAAATTTAGCAGTCATTAAATCTATCCAAAACTCTTCAAAAAATTGTTCCAAAAACCACTAATCCATCCTTTCCTAAAAACCACTTTAAATTCATCAATCCCTTGGTAAGGGAAGGAACAGATACACATTTGTACTCTCTTTAGATTTCTAGCTCTGACACCGACTATTTCTTCATTAAATAATTACTTTCTTTGCAAATTTAAATGTCTTGCAGCCTCTAAAGCTCTATAATAATAAATTCACATAAAAAACTATAATCAAGTGGTGCAAGTCTTTTCTCAACTTTCTCAAAACTTTTCCGTTTCGTGTAGTATTGTAGACATTGTTATAAACTTTGATAGCTTTCTTGTTACTTGCAGTCATACAATACCAAAAGTTGAACGAACATAATCTTGAATCAGGTTCAAATATGATATCACAGAGCCTTTATCTTAATAGTGTATATTACGATAACTTTCACATTTCCATTAAAGCAACCATATAATCTCATTGAACATTTTATTTTAAATTTGTTCTATATCAATAATGTAAACATATTTTTCATTATTCTAATTCACACGGTATTTACTCTGTTAACACACAACAAGCATCATATTTGCTACAACTAGGTCATCACGGTCGGCGCATTTTTATTTCGTAGATACATAGTTTTAAAACTGCGCTATTCATTTTACACGTCTTTAAATTAAAACAAAAAAAGTGAAACGGACCAAATATTGTTCTTTTTATTGCAATAATATGGTATGCGAGTAATATTTTTTAATATTCAGTTTTTATCTCCTTCGTTTCGATATAACGATATTTCAGTATTCAGATCATATTTTATTATTGCCTATCAGTATGGTATTACTTTTTTATTTTTGTTATATTCTAAAAAGTATATATTAGTTATAATGCATATTGTAAAGGAATATTTTTAAAAGCACATTAGATTTTTTCTCGACATAATATGTTTGTATAGACTTTACGTGAGAAGATTCAAGTAAATAGTTTTTGTACTTCAATCAAATATGTAGAAATATCTTTTCTTATTTTTAATAAAATATATGCTTTTTTTTATAAACCTTTTTATTTTGGATTTGTTGTTGACAACTAGTACTCTGCCTTAAATAGATATTGATCGATTAGTATCGAAAGCCCGGCGAGCTCAACGCTGGCTGCTGTTAAAAAATGAAATTAAATTACATCTCGTCTGGTATATATGAAACTTAGATGCTACCGTTTTTTCATAAACGATATGAATATTTTACTCCACATAAATTTTTGTCACTCCTTATTGAAACATTACTCCTGTTTTAAGATCGATTTGTGATTCCATGACAAGAATTTATAATTAGGTCCTGTAGAAATAGGAAATTCTTACAAGATAAGGATAGAAGCTCGTAACAATTTACATTCACATTTTTTTTATTTAACTATATTCAAAATATGATTTAATTTACTAAGTAGGTACTGTCATGAGCTTCATATTAATTTTCCACTTCTTACTGAAACTCCGACCTATTATGCGGCGAGGAACCTAGTTAAATAGAACATACAAAAGATATAGTGAAAGAGACTTCCCGTAATATAACTTCTGTAGTATTTCAAAAAACCTTTTTTATATTCTCTAACGAAACTATTCAACTTCTGCGTTTTCAATTCTTTTTAAATTTTATAATTCTTGTGGTTTAGTAGAATATTTCATATTATATTTAATATTTTAGTCTATAAATTTTAATATTTTTATCCTTAATTCCATAAAGTAAATTGCTTGTTAGGAAATTGAGAAGGCCTGATGAATTAACAATAGAAAAGCTGTGCCGATTTAAGCTAAAACTAAGGTTGTAAGATACTTTACCAAATGTCCCGTGTCCAACGAGCGTCGGCATTCTGGGCGGCCATTACAGAGAGATTAATGACGTCATCTTGTCCTACCAGACAATCACCGCTGAGCAATACCTACAATAGAAATTGACCACGATTTAAACCACAAACTCTGACAGGTGACTGGTTTTACTTATGACTTTTTTATTTGTAATTTTCAATATATTACGATTTCCAAAGCATACATTTTTATAAAAAAAAAAATTGCCGCGATAAAATATTTATTATTTATAATTCATTAAAATAGATGGTGATATTATAATATTAAATTTATTTATAACGTGAAGTTGGTAGTTCTAATAGTTTTGACAGCGTCAGTCGAAGAGAGAAGCGAATTGAATATTTAACTAAGTTCCTATGGAAATTCAACTAAATACTATAAATAAATTGAAACAAAAGACGAAACCGCATTACTTACTTAACAATATAATTGTTTATGTACTTAAGTTATTACTGCTGCTTTACTTTTAGCTAATTATTTCCTCATTTATGTTAATTAAGACAGCAACAGCACTAAAAGACTCTAGACAGAGCATTTTTAATATAAAAACACTATTATATACCAGAGTTGTAATAAAAAATTTAAAGTTTATCTTTTTCTAGAACTAACGTTGAACCAACGCTGTCATAAATTATGAAAATTGCAATTGTAGAATAAAAATTCAAATTATATTTATGCATACCACATAAATACTGTAAGTGCTTCCGTACGTATAGAGCGCGAGCCTTAATGTTAATAAGATCGTTCCGCCAAACTCCACTTAGTAGAGTATTCCTTATATTTTGCAGGGTTCTCAAGATTTGCATAACCAAGTAGTGTATTAACTTTTAAACACTTATCAGTGTATCGCTATACTTTATAGTTTTTGGCTTGAAAGGATTTATCGTTTTAGAATATCTGGTGAATGTAAAATATGTTATAAATAACTTCATATATTTTTTTAGTATCCGTGCCATGCGCAATCTGGCATTTCTGATTTCAATTAAAAAACCCGTAGTGCAAATTACGAAAATTTGTTTGTATGCATGTGCTCGTATTTATGCTTGTCATTCAAAGACAAAAATGTATCAAGCAATTTCAGAGGTTTTTTTGTGTAAGTATCTAACTAAACCATATAAAACATTGCATTTTTATTTCATTATTTTCTGTTGCACAAATACCACAGATTTTAAAAACTGAACCCTGGCAAAAAAATATATTTTGGTATTAAAAAGTATAGAATTATAATAATCTCATACTTAAATTGACTTAAACATAATGTCAGATAGGATATGCCTTATGATACTTGATGTTAACTTATTGTACTAAGATACGTTTACGTCTTTGGATATTATTACTATCCGGAATACTAACTCTGAGAAACAGTATAGACTAAAAACATAAATAAAGCTTTTTAATTCTTCATGTTATTATCAAAGAAGTATTTATAGTAACACTTTTATTCTCTACTCAATGTATAGGATATAATATTTAAGAATATTCTTGAATTAAAGGACAAATGAAATTGCATGAATGTTTTCATTAACATGAAATATTTGTTTATTTTGTGTATTAATTTTAAATATACTGCACAGAATGGGTAGTCTGTGCACTTGAATAAATAATGTACATAAAAGCTCCTTTACCGCGTTGGTATAACTTGATAATACATATTGCATATATTACCGCTCTGACTGACTTATATTATTTAAATTTATAGTTAGTTGAAATGAAAGTATTAAAGCAGTAGAAACATCATTGGATTCCTAATAAGTTTCTTTTAGTTTTAAATTCTCTGTCTGATTACTTTTTAATGTTAAATAACAAACACTAGTATTTAAACTGAGTCTATTGATTTAAAACTCTCAGTAATATTCTGCTGTATGTATTGAGACGTTCGATTGTGTATTGACAATTTAGAAATTTAATTAATATGTTACCAAAATATGTTAAATACTTACTATTATTTAAGAAGACGAGTTTGCTTCTATATAAATATATATTATGCGAGTGAGACATTTTTAGATTGTAGACTTTTTACTGATTAATTGAAGGTGTTAAAATATAGTTTTGGTCAGAGATTTATACCTTATTAATATTTTAATATTGATGGCAAAAATGGAAAATAAAAATTAAATAAGATATTGATCGAAGTAAATAACTTCAATCTTAAGTTAATGTATAAATGACTGATGAATGTTAGTATAATATGTTTTTGAATCACTAATGGAACCACACAAAACCCATAGAGTGGTTTTACAAAAGAGTGAAAATATAAATAAACCATATGCACCACTATAGTGGTTTTGGCAGCTTTGCCGAACGTTTTTTGCTTGACTCTTACTTAACAGACTGATGTAATGTTATATAATATACTTGACTCAAATGAGGCGATAGTGTTAAAATTTTCCTTCTTAACCTAAGATTTTATGATATGAGAGTTGTAAGAACCACCTAAATTGTTAATCTCCTCAAGTATATTATTTTGTATATGTACATCACTCAATATAGTTAAGTACTGAATGATATTATAAAAAACTTGAAGTAATATTAAGTTTCTCATCGAAAAGTTTTTATTTAATCCCGATGACTGTCAAAAGATACTCTCTGTCAGTCAATTAATTTGTCAGTCCAACACGCACAAAACCTACCAAACTTCTTAATATGTTTTTTTAGAAGTTTGCAATCTCCATGTCTATAAGAGAGATTAAAACAAATTACTTATAATGTTTAAGTGTCAAGAATCGTCACGCATACATATTTAATATGGCTTATTTTTGTATGATTCATACATATGTTCAATTAAAAAAATAATTTAAAGACTAATAGCACATGAATTTAAATTTTTTTATCACGTTGAAAACTAACAGTCGTGTTTTACATTTAATACGATAACATGAAATTAATTACCAGTTTTATATTCGTACGTTACTCTGTATATTTAATATTTTTTGTTCATTTCAATTGTTTTTCGATGAGTGTGGTCGTTATGCACGATTCATATTTCTTGAATACTAAAACGTGTTTGTTTATTTTCATTCTTTTAGCCTGTGATGGTCAAAGTGAAAAAACTGTCGATGGCTTGACAGAATTCGAAGAGGGTAATCTTCGTTTTACTGAAAGTTTTCTATTGGTGAGTTCTGAGTATTGAATAATGAAATAATTTTAGAATGCTATCCTAACTTTATATCTAAAAATTTTATTCATTTCAGACGGCTGCCAAAAATAATCCCAATGCGAGTGTTATAGGATCACCTTTTAGTATATTATTTTTGTTAGCCCAATTGGCTTTATATGCGACTGGAAATTCTAAAACAGAACTTTTGAGGTTGCTTAATCTGAGCAATGATTGTGAGGTAACTAAAATTAGACAATATTTTATATTATTTCAATTATATCTGTTCCAAAACAAAACTGTATGGAAAAATATTTGTCATATTATTTATCTTAAAATTTATTACATATTGTATGTTTTATTTTTTAATTTTTTTAAGATTCGTTCATTTGTTCCGAAATATCTCCAACTAATTTCGGTAACAAACAACGCTAGTTTCGACTTAGCTCAAAAAATTTATGGTAGTGCCAAATATCCGTTCAGTGAAAACTTCAAAAAGGATACTAGAGAGGTATTTAACGCCCAAGCACAAAATGTTGACTTTTCAAACCCGAAAGAAGCAGCTGACATCATCAACAAATGGGTATATTAAAAGTTTATTAACTAAAACTATAAACAACTATTGAAAGTTTTTCAGAAATTCCTATATTCGAACAAACACCTGTTGGTATCCAATTATTAAATGCTTTGAGATCAGTGTCTAATGTACGAATTACTATCAAATAAATTAGAATAACACGTTACATTTATTTATTTTTGTGAAATTACATATTCAGATTAAATCCATATCCACACTGAAACATCCACAATAACATTTATAACATAAAATAAAACCACTCATTAATTTATGTTTCAGGAATACCTCACATTCTTGAATCAGTGTTATTTCACGGACCTACATAAATTACTTTAATAATTGGAGCAGTCTAGAATTACAGAAACCTTATTATAAATTATTTTACGATACGAACACATTTTAACGATAAAAAAATATCACAAATATGTATTTTAAAAGATTTAATAAGATCCCTTTAAATGACAATATGTATTAATCTTAAAGATCCAAATTGCATTTTTCAAATAGTTTTTTTAATAACGTAAGAAGTTCAAAATTCCATTGTAATATTAACACGTATCTGTTATAATTCCAGGTAGCTAAGCAAACTCGTAATCTAATTCCAAATCTCATATCGCCTGATGCGCTAAGTTCTAATACGCGTTTAGTTCTTGCAAACGCTATATACTTCAAGGTTTGTTAATATTTGAATAATATTGTTTACGTTACATAAACGGTTTTATTTAAACTATGAAAAATTGCAGGGAGTTTGGAGATATCCATTTAAAGCACAAAATACCAGATTGATGCCATTCTATACTGGAAAAACAGAAGATGATTCCGTGCAAGTGAAAATGATGAATCAGATTGGTAATTTCAAATATGCAGAATTAAAAAACCCCGATGTCCAGGTCGGTTGAGATAATCATCATATTATTTTTTTATTGAAATAAATCAAAATAGATTACTTTTAATATTATACACACTTACATGTTCTTATTCATTTATAGATTCTTCAACTACCATACAAAGCTGCTGATATTTCTTTTGTCATATGCTTGCCGAGATCTAGAACAGGAATCAATGATTTGATTAAAAATCTAAAAGAATCATCTGTTATAAGGCGTTCATTCACTGAATTACAATCTACTAGGGTAGATGTATCCATACCCACATTGGATATATCGACAACTACCGACCTGAAACCTCTTTTGTTTGATGTGATATATACATATTTTTTAATCTTCTTATAATGAACTTATTATAAACGAAAAGATAGGTTTACTTACTTTTTATATATTATTTTAAGGCGGGTGTTAAAGATATCTTTGACCCCTCAACTGCTGGAATAAGTGGAATATTGGAAAAGCCTGAAGATATTTTCGTGACATCTGGTATCCAAAAAGCTAAGATACTTCTTAATGAAACTGGAACTGAAGCCGCTGCCGCTACAGGTAAACTAAAAATATGTTTAAAACTGCTTTCATTATAATAAAGCAATTACATATATCTTTAACACATCTATTATAAACTACAAGCTTCAACACGACTAATCCTTTACTAGCTCTTTTATTTTCCTTTCAGCGGTTGTCGTTGGTGTCAGGTCTCTTCCTATATCTGAACCTGATCCTGTTAAATTTAATGCAGATCATTCCTTCCTGTACTTTATAATGAATAAAAAATTACTTATCTTTGCTGGAATGTATCGAGGAACTCGATAGTACCGACTAACACAGTAATCTCTTGATCTATTTTCAATCCTGTTGCAAAATTAAAGTGAAACTCCTCTTTATTGAGTACATCTTGTTGAGAAAAGCCTTAGTCCCCGTTTGTATATATGTATTCCTATCTGGGATAGTGCTAACATTGTATTGTATTCCATCAATTCTCAAATATCAGATAGCATTGTGATTGAAATTGTATTATTTTTGGGAAAAAGGTCACGGTAATGTATCACAACATACACAAATATTACTACATATATTTAAAAGAAGATCGTTGTTTTCACAGAAACATGTTTTTATTTTTTTTATGTATAATTACATTACAGCGATCACAGTGCGAGCAAATGCAATAATCCAACCATTGACATCGCAGATAAAGTTCAAAGCAGATCATCCATTTATTTATTTTATATTATATAAAAAATTACTCATCTTTGTCGGGTTCTACTTTGGATCACAGTAATTTTCTAAAATTGGGTCTCATGAAAATATTATATTGTATCACGATACTACAATTTATAACTGAATGTATTCTTAAATTCATCCAGTAAAAGAAACTATTTTTCAAATAATACGTATTCCTTTATCTCTTTACATTGCAGCAATCACCGTAGGAATAACGTCAGTAGCTCTACCGGTGGATTCTCCTATTGTATTCAGAGCGGACCATTCATTTATTTGTTATATTTTATACAAAAAACTGCCTATTTTTATCGGCAAATTTGCAGGTCCGCAGTAATTAATTATTATAAATATTCGTTGATTTTTTTCTTAGTTATTGGAATCAACTAAAGTATAATAATAATAATTAAATACCTATATATGTCAGGAAACGATCATTTAAATATTATGCTTTGTGATTATTTATTAAAAATAAATCATATAATGAATTGTTTTATTAAATAGAATTACCTACTTATTACCTCTAAACCAATTTGAAGTGAATTCAGTACTAAATAAATATTATACTTGTTTATTTATTATATTAGACGAAGGGCAAATAAATTACAAGACACTATATTTTAATAGCTCTTAAAGTACAATCAAATTACAAATCCTGGAGAGGACACCAATTAAGGAGATTAAAACAATCTCCCATCAGAAAACTGATACACTAGGATAAAGTTCTCAACAACCATCCATTATTATATAAATTGTTTTCGTTTCTGTTCAAAGAGATTAAGTAACTATATTTGTAATTCCATTTATATAGTTCTTTTAATTTAGTTAGCAATATAATGATTTACGACATTACTTTTAACTTATAATTTGTATATATTGTTCATAAATTTTCCAATACAAGCTTATATTTAAGATAATTTGCTTATTTAACATTGTTTATTTCTATTAAACTTTGAAAATTTAAGTTTTTGATAAAACACAGGATGTATAATCGTTTATTTTCCTTTCGAAAATGAATTTCTAACGGGTACATCACTTCGGTATTGATGATTTAATTAAACAATTACCCTTAAACTTGTGTATTGGGTCGATCAAGAAAGGTCCGTTACTGTGGAATTTGTAATTAAGACAGCCCTTTGAACGAAATCTGTTTACGCCAAAGTGTTTTGTCTTTGGTTGCGTCTAATTTTAAGGTTAAGACTCTGGGTACATTATTTAATCGTTTTCTCTATTGTATATAAAATTGCTGCACAAAGTAATTGAACTGATATTAGTTTATTTGACACAAAAAGTTTAAAGCTAAATGTACATAGGATACGTTTATTACTGCCGACTATTCAAATCAACCTGCCAACTCTATTGACTATTAACGGGTTTCCATATTTCCTCCCACTTCACACGTTACAGTAATTAATAGTGTGCGACAAACTCTTGACGTTTTAACTAATAAAATTTCTTTGAGAGTTTAGATGAAGACGAAATATTCAATTTAATTGCAAACAACATGGTAAGGAAATGAATGTAATCGATGTTCTTTACTACATTACTATCGTAAAACTTTCTAGCAAAAGAAAAGAAAAATATAAATATAATAAAGATTCAAATTTGAGGGATATTAATACATTCACTTAAATTATTTCGTCAAAATACTTGAGAAACAAAGACTTAGTACTTAGGCTTATATGTTTTATCATATAACAAGCAGTTTTTAATGTTAGAAAGATTGCTTTCAGTTTAATACAAATTATTTCATTACACAACAACACGATATTCATTGATTGGAAATGCTTCAAACTGTGAATTTAGACTAAATTTAATGTACAACTTATTATCCCTGACCAGCTGATCGTATCGATCTTAGGGTTGGAATCCCTAGCTTTGACAATATGGGATAAAGTTTAATCTCGATGTAACTTATTCTTATTGCAGGTTCAGAATACCTTTTTGTACAACAATTTTGAATGTAGATTAATAGTTCTAACATTCGTCGTGCACCCATATCCTAAAAGTACCCCAAAAATTGTAAATGGAATTTTAAATATTGTAACAACGACACTGCTCAAAATAAAATGTAGTTCCTCGTGAAAAAACCTTCGTTCACATAGTTTGTAGGGCTAGACTTTTTACAGCTATAGATAAATCTACACTTATATGATAAAGAGTTTGTTTGTTTGTTTGGACACTCTTTTCTCAGGAATTTCTGGGCCAATATATTAAATATTAAAAAAAGTTAGGGATCCGTTAAAAAATGGTACTTTGTAACCTGAGGTTTAAAATCGAAAACCTACTTATGCTTGCGCCACAAGAACTATTCACAATACAACAAAATAATGTACTACTCTACGGTTTGGTAGGTCCTATTAAGATCTAGAAAATTTTTCGGGAGAGCATACATCTAACTGTAACCTCCTGGTCCTCTATGTAAGTATAACTAGTCACTGGCTCACTGCTACTCCCGACTAGAGCGCAGGCGCACGTTACCGTTCTGCTCCGCGCTAGTTGTGAGACTGCAGAACGAATGCCACCCCCTCTATTTGGGTGCGTGAGACAGTGTTTTATACCTATTGTATAGTTACAAATAATACACTACACTACACTACACTACACTACACTACAATACATCTACGTAGAAGTCATACTTTTTGCTTCATTCCAATCGGTTTTTTTTAGAAGTTAATGTAAGACCCTTAAAATAAACATTTAATAACGAATAATTTGCCAAAGAGTTTTATTAACATATTATACTCAATAGTAATCTACATATATTATGTTACTATGAACAAATTATCATCGAAATTATCAAACAACTTAATTTCAATTAGAACTAAAAATAGCATCCTTACTATTAACTTACATTTAAATGCTTAAGTAACCGGGTCTGTCTATCTGTTACGTTTTCACACCTAAGCCACTGAATTGATTTTGATGAATTTTGGAAAAAGACATGCCTGTTATCCCAATACCAATCGCAACCCCGACCCATACACCATAGAGGCAGAAGACAACTGATCTGGAATTGGACGGTGTTACCAGCAAAAGCTAGTAATATAGTAAAAGGAATAAAATATTGCATTCCTTTATTGAATATTGTAAAAGGCAAATTACATATTATTATATACATTTTTTATACATAATAAATAAATATTTATATTTTATTTAACATATGTAAATAGCCTCGAACAATGCCACCGATGACTATTGTTTCTTAAATTTCATCTGTATTTTAAAATTTTATTTCACAAAATTTACTTATTCAACATGATAAGTTTGAAATTTGTTCACAAACAACTAAAACATTCAAAAAATTCAAAATCCTGCATCGAAAACTGTTCTCACAATTTTCAAATAGCACTCGGAAAAAATCACTACTACAGAAACGAATCCAATTGAATGTAAACTCAATTATTACCAATAAAAATAAAATAAATATCTAAAGAATTATTGATAATGATTGATGTTTAACACTAAGTACAATTTTTTTTGAAATATTACTTACTGTTACACACACTTTTTTATATAAATGTAAACACTTAAATTATGTAATCATCACATTCACAATTGTTTCTTTTGATATAATACATTCATGAAATTAGTTCGTAAAAGAAATATTTTCAATGATTAACACTGATTATTATTACTGTAATTTTAGGCTTACGAGTGATATTTCTGAAAGTAGCATTATTTAACTTAATGATACTAAGATTAAAATGTTAAGAAAAGTTGTTACTTTTGTTAAAATCTCTTTTCATTTGTTAATTAAAAATTATATTAGTATAACCACATTTTTTAAAATAATTAACTTTCAAACTGAAAAATATATGTTATACTCACAGTCGTCGTTACTGAAAAATCAATAGCAAATACTTATAAGATTAGCCCCTCGTCTAGAGGTGGAGAATGTCTGGTTAAAACCGTACTTTACGATATTTCACTTTCATATAATCTAAGGATAGTTACTTGTGCAATGTTAGTCTACTCCAATTCACTTAGATATTCCAATACATAAATTATACAGTTATTAGAAAATTAGTCAATCAATTAGAACTAAAATTATTTCACCGATTATTTTCCTGATATCTGAATCGTTAAGTACTGCTGAAATTTACCATTAATAAATTCTAAATAGTCTGTTTCTTACAACGTTCAAAACAATTGAACTTATAAATATAATCAATTCTAATATATAAAAATATGTAGTTGCATATACTTCAGCCGGCCATAAATTGTAAAGCAATTAAAATTAAAAAATATATAACAGTCTTAAGTTATTCATCTACTTTTTATGCGATTGTTCGTCTGATATTTTTTATTTTGAGAAGAAGATTTTTTAAAAAATGTGATATTAGAAACATGTGGGGAGATACAAAGATACCGATTCGTGTTGTTGGCTTTTTATATTTGTGCAATATCTTATTAAACATAATGGCGGTTGATGAGAGTTCTAAAGAATCTTTCAATTAGGAAACAAATTACAACATGGATTTGGTTTTTCGTCATAGTTACGAAATTCGGACTGAGGAATATTTATGTGAAAAAATATCAAAACACCGGCATACTTTTTTGGAAAGAAAGAAAGAATGGTCTTCTTAGTCAGA